AAGCAGTGGTATCAACGCAGAGTACTCATGGTTACTACGACACCTTATGTAAATAACACTGTATATTGCACTTCTGGTTAGATCCTAACTGCATTTAATTGGATCTGTATCTGTTCTGTGCCCTATGACAATACAGTTTAATCTAATCTAATATGACTTGTATGTTGTAGGTGTTTTTCACTGATTTTTAAATGGTGCGCACAAAAATTATTGATTTTTTCTTCTGCCCTCCTGAGGAGAAAATGCTGCATTAATCTACAGATGTTTGTATTATTAATGCAATGAACACAGTAGCCCATCTGTCAAGCACGGTGAAGATAGTGTTATGGCATGCATAAAAGAAAAGAGTAGAAAGAGAGTAGAAAAAGTGAAAGAGAGAGAGAGAGAGAGAGAGAGAGAAAAGAGAGAGAGGACACCAATAATAAAAAAAATAGATGAGAGAGAAGAGAGACATCAAAACAAGACAAACAATGTAAAAGAGAAAGAGTCTGAGAGGAAACACAAGTGATAGAAAATGAAAGTAAGAGAAACATAAAGAAAAGGGAGACTGAAATACGAAGAAAAGGTAGGTGATTGAAAAAAACAGAGATTCACTGAGAAAGAAAAAGAGAGAGGGAGAGAGAGATACTTGTCACTCTGGTAGTTTATGGGGTATCCTGATGATGAGGCTGGGCAGGGCAGGACTCTGATGTAACAGGTCTGAGTCGGTGGTGGTTAAACAGCCAGCAGGAGAATGCTGCGGTGCTGAAGACCTCAGACCTGCTGCCAAACACAGCAGCTATGTGGTGCTTTCTTAAATAGAGGAGTGTGTGACTGGACTCAAGTCAACAGATTCCACTAGTGGTCATTCCACTAGAGCATGTGATGAGAACGGCATTCCAACTATTCTTCTAAATTCCAGCAGAATTTAGTGGTTAGAGGGTAAATTAGATCATTTAGGAGTGGGCTTGGAGTGAAAAGCTCCATTCTAGAGAAACTTTCTCTGAAAGCTCCCTCACAAGAAGTAATTACCTCAAATCAGGACTGCGCTGATACAACTTTTCCCCTTCCGTTACAGATACCAGATTTTCAATACAGAGTTGAGTAACTGCACATTTAAAAAATCTATGAAAAAAGTTTAAAAAAAATTGTAATTGTCACAGTGCAAAAACATCTGCAAGCAGGAAAGCACAATGATCCTACACAACATCATCCTCTTGCAGTGAGCATTCATGTCAGTAATTTCTTTATGATACTCACACAAGTGACAGTGTCAGCGCAGAAACCAATTTACCTCGATAACGACCCCTCTCCTACTCCTGACCCCTCAGTACGCCCCCCCCCCCCCCTCCCCTCCCACAGGTGTGGCATGCCACACTCCACGCTTGATCCAGGATATAATCGCGAAACTACACACCAAACATGGTGGCTCGAAATTGCTTACGCGTTTCAAACGAAGTGATTGTTTCTCTTTTTATGCACAAAGGTTGTACTAGAAGTCGTGTGTACGCAGATTTAAGCACTAGTCGTGTTTGTAAGTATTAGTTTACCTGTTGCTGGTGAAATGATGTTAGGCTATTTTCGGACTTACTAAGAGCTGTTTCATACTGCCGCACTTACCGCACTGATCGCACTGACCGCAGCAGCCGCTGCAGCCTAAGCGTTAAAAAGTCACGTCAAATTATCACAATCTTTTTATATATAAAGCAGAAAGTGTTGCGTTCAACATGTATGTTTTTATAAACTCCTTTGTGCGTGCACCAAGAGTTGTATTTTTGCACACATATGATGTTGATAGAGGACTACATGTTGCCGAATGTGAAAAGGTTTCGCGGAATTCTTGCAAGAACGCACCTCCACTCAGATATATGTCGGGGCAGGCGGCTATGCGATTTATGGGCAGGCAGGCACCGGAAAAATAGTTCACTGATTTCTTGCGGTCCGCTTGCAGATATTTATGAGAATATTAGACATTTTTTGAACCAACGTGTGGGAATTAATCATAGATTAGTTGCGGCACAGTGGCCGCATTCTCGCGGACTTTCCGCGAAAATTTGCAAAAATATTGGGGATTGCGCGATCATTTGCGAACAACCGCTCAGCCCGTAGGTATCTTCCGCTGAGAGAAAGTACCCCAAACTTGGGCAATTGAACCATCGATGACAGCTTTGCCACATAGAGTCTCACCCTCAGACAATCGCTGGGGGCAGGCGGTCCGCAAACTCGCCCTTTTTTGTAGGCAGTCAGCAGAATTTTGGGACGTAGCAAAACCTTCAGCGAGCGGTACTTCCTTTGCTGTCGCATATTCTGCCAGCGGGCAGCAATACAGAATCTTTTGCAAGCGCTTGACAAATAATTTCCTTCAACAAGCGCTGGCCAAACTTTCAGCAAGCGTTCGGACCCTTTGGGAGACGGTCGATTGGCGCGTATTGATCCATTACCACTAACTAGTTAAACAAGAAAAAAAGTCAAATTCAATTTGCCATTTCTGGAGTCCAGCTAGTATTCCTCCGTTACACTTTCTAATATGATGGCAAAAATTTCGGAGTCTGGCAATCTCTCTTTTGCAGAGTACAATATTCTTCTAGCAATGACGACAACCGAAACGCGCGCCTTTCGACATACACCCGGACTCTTTTAACGCCTTTCGGGCGTACGCCGAGCAAAGGTAAGACTCCGGTCCTTCACAAAGGACCGTGAGGCCCTCAACATTTTTGCATAATCTCGCGGAAAGTCCACGAGAATGCGGCCACTGCGCCGCAACTAATCTATGATTAATGTCCACACGTTGGCTCAAAAATGTCTACTATTCTCTAAATGTCTGCAAGAGGACCGCAAGAAATTAGCGAACTATTTTTCCGGTGCACGCTTGCCTACAAATCGCATGGCCGCCTACCCCCGGCGATTCTCTGATCTTTTGCTCGGCGTACGCCCGAAACTGCGTAAACGGGTCCGAGCGCCTCCAAAGGCGACATTCAGCGTGTGAGAGCACTTCTGCTGACTTTTGCTCCCCACTAGGGAAGAACCAAATAAATTTTTGTAAAACCTTCTATGTTGGCAGCTGTCTGTTTTCAGCCGTTCAAGCAACGTCCACAACCTAATGCAAAGAGTTGTTGAGAGATAATGCTGCGTTTTGGAGCAGGCTAAAAGACTTAGATAAAGCTGTGAATCCCTCACCACTCTGTCAATATTCATACTGTGTAAATCTAGTAAAGGAAGCAAAAAGTGAGAAGATTCAAACCTATACCTATATCAGCTTTAGAGGCTATCACACTCGAAATAGGTAAGGGGCGAATCTAAGTCCTGGTTCTAAGAGACATATAGGTAGAAAGGTCGCTTCACATTTCAAAAAGTTATTTTGAGTATTCCCTCCTTGTAGGGATTCAACAGTCCACATTTTTCATAGAACAAAACACATTTATCAAATTTTAGTTGACTTACGCTTGACAGTGCGATGAAGGTGACAAGTACATGTACACATCGTCTGTTAAACTGCCATACGCAACACCAAAAACGGGCCTCTCGCTCATGTAGCCTCTGAATGTACGATGTAGTGGCTCAGCGGTTGACTCATCAATATCGTACTTTGCATTAGAATGTCTAGCACAAAAAGACTGCATGAAATTCTTTGTGTCGAAACACAAGCACAATTTTGGGTGGCTCGGCTGCGATTAAATATATTGAATGCGGTTAGCATCCTCCAGATTTCCGCCTCGTGGGCCAAGCATGAAAGCGCTTGCGGCGAAAGGAACGCCATACTTGGCTGGTGGCGATGTTACGGGTAGCGGGAGCGGGAAGATCGTTCCTAAAGCTAGGAGGTGACTTTACAGCCTGCGTAGAGCCCTTTTCACCATTTTGAGCTCTCACAAGGGAAGTTCACTTAGTCGAAGTGGCGTTTCGAAAGGAGATCTATACCAATGGATAGCTTGAAAAGCTGATCACAGATATACCTTCTATATTTGCGATGCATTGTTCTGAAATAAGTTATGAGCTTTACTAAAGCCAAATTTCCGTGCATTTTGAGTCGCAAAATCGTGGTAATCGCTACACAAAAGTGCGCAAGCTCAAGCAAACCATCTAGGAAGCATTGTAGGTCTAATTCGAGTTCATCCGAACGTTTTCAAGTGTTTTCCGACCACGTTGTTTATTCATAGGCCGTCATTTCCTTCCTAGATCGCACTGCCATTATACAGGGTGTCCCAAAAGTAAGTACACACTTTTCAATCTCTCTTCCCAATGTGGCTTTCTCCGCCATTCAAACCCTGTAGAGGAGGCTTCAACTTAGGTTTACAGTATCGAGCGAATTACCGATCGCTCTTCGTTAGTGTAGGATTACTGTAGGAACTTCGACAAGGATTTTAGGCCATTAGAAGCCATATTCTGCCTTGGAACAAAAGCAAGCAAGCCAGAAACACTTATACTATGGTAATTTAAGCCGCTGAATTCGAAAATGAAATTTTCACTTTACTGTGATACTTCTTTCCTAAGTTATCCCAGGTAATCGTAATAACCGAATTCCCAGTACATGTCAGAAATGTGATTACACCATCAAAAAAACTGAAAACACTCGTAAAAAGTTGTGTAATGAAATCAACGTGCACGAAAACACGCGTTAGTACACGACTTAAAAATTTGTTAGGTGGTATATTTCACGATAATTTCATATGCTGGAAGTTCTTACCGTAATTCCACAGTAATGAAAGCGATCGGTAATTCGCTCGATATACTGTAAATCTAAGTTGAAGCTTCTTCTACAGAATGGTACTTGAATGGCGAAAAAGACACAATGAGAAGAGAGATATTAACGATTGAAAAGTGTGTACTTACTTTGGGACACCCTTTATATTCAAAAAAGCCCATAACTTCTATCTAGAAGAACGCGTCGCAGATATTGAAAATATATTTGAGGACATCGTTTTACGTTCTATTCATTGGTAGTTTTCAAAAAGTTTCCTACGGCACGCGTTTTTCTAGATGGAGGTTATGGGGCTTTTTGGTATACATAAAGGAAGTGTGATCTAGGAATGAAATGACGACCTGTGGATGAACAACATGGTCGAAAAACATTCGATAGCATTCGGATGAACTCAAATTAGACCTACAATGCTTATTAGATGGTTTGCTTAAGCTTGCACACTTTTGTGTAACGATTATCATGACTTTGCGACTCAAAATGCACGAAAATTTGGCTTTAGAAAAGCTCATAACTTTTTTCAGAACAACGCATCGCTGATATAAAAGGTATATCTGAGATCAGCTTTTTAAGCTCTATCCACTGGTATAGATCTCCTTTCGAATCGCCACTTCGACTAAGTGAACTTCCCTTGTCAGATGTGGATTTTCAGATTCAATATAGCGAATAGGCCCAGAAAAGCACAAGATATCAAAATCGACTTCTTGCCCTTCTTGACCGCCTTTGAGTCATTGCATATTGTATATAAAGGATATTCGTTTACGACTGCCCCATTTCGTGCATTTGTACCACTGCGGGCGTGCCTTTTTGAAGCCTTTCCAGCTTCACAGTATGCTACAGCGCGCAGGGAATTTGCAGCTCGCAGCGCCCCTGTCCTTTAACCTCTTCTGCATTTCTCATCTTTTTTCCCTTTTTAATCTTCAGTTCAAGCAGCTGCTCATCAGTCAGTCGTTCTCCTCTTCTTTGAAGTTCTCTCGATCGAATACCCCTACAAATTCTGCTTTAATGGGTCCTGAAAGAGCAGGAAAAAAGTTTTAGCACAGTTATTGAATTCATTCTTCTTTTTACATATCATACAAACATTTTCAGAATCGTAAAATATCGTTCGCATAATACAGGGTTGGGGGAAAGTCTTTGAACAATTTTTGACGTCATTGTATCTTTGGATTTTCCACATATTCTTGTATGCTAATTATATACGTTTGCTTCTTATACCTTTGGTTACAAATCCTCCAAAAACTGGACTGCTAGCTTCAATTCTGTCGGAGATATGCCTTCTGGAACGGAGCGAGCGTTGATGGCGAAGATGCACGAGGAAAGGATGGCTAACCAGCAGATTGCGCGGACTCCCCAAATTTTACAAATTAGCGTCTGTTCCACCTTGCGTCGTTTCCAGGATATGAACAGCACCCAGAACTGCTGTACGAGTGATAAATTGGCTACTGCGGACACTCACAGATTTCTGAAGATCGTTCGCGAGCGCCATCGTCGCGATCCGCGAAGAAGCTTGATTGAGCGGGGTTCAAAGCTTTTCATCTCTGGTAGAAAATTCTCCGACATCGTGGAACAAAGCCTTGGGATGAAGCTTTTCGAGATGCTAATAATTCATGCTTTTTGGAAAGACACGAAGCTGATTTGACTGCGCGGATGCCATCGAATGCCTGAACGTCTCTTCAAGGCACGCCACCAAACATACTCTTTTCTGACGTCAAATTTTTCACCGTGAAGCAGGTTTTTTGATCGCCAAAACAACAGAGTCGTCACCTAAAGGCCTCAGGAAGCCAACAGCAAGGGTTGACTTGCAGAAGGAAAGCTCATCCGGTTTTTGTGACAAATTGCGCGGCGATCGCTTCCGACAGCAAAATGCCGCTGATTTTTAGGGTCTCAGTGCTTAATATGGAGACTGCCACGCATGTGAATAGCACCGTGAAGAAGGAACTGTTGACCTGTACCAATACTAATTTGCCGAGAGCGATTGGTGCTCACAGCAGGATAGCGCACCTGCGCACAAAGTGAAGGTTGTTCAAGCATGGCTCCAAAGCAACGTTAAGGACTTCATTACTCCTTTGGAATGGCCTCCGTATTGGCCGGATTTGAATACCCTTGACTACCGCAAGTGGTAAATTCTTTAGGCCGAAGCCTGTGCTCACTCACGCAAGACTGTGGAGTCTCTGCGACGTGCTCTCCAGGATGCGTGGGAGGAAGTCGACGTGGAGCACCTACGTGCCACCGTGGACAGCGCTCTCAAGCGATGTCGAGCTTGTATTCGCGGCAAAAGAGGAATCTTCGAATTGTAAAGTCAGTTTTATATAGCAGACAGTTGAGTATACATTATCTATTTATTTCATGTAATCATCTTGCCTAGCTTCATCATTACGATAAAAATACCGTGTTCAAAGACTTTCCCCCAACCCTGTAAAGTGGGAGGGGAGTGCTTTCTTCATAAGCAGTGAGTGTAGTAATGGCTAGCATGCCTTCTTTTCAAATGAAATCACTGAAATGTTTATTTTAGCACACCTATATGTGTCCTTGATGTTGAACTGCTGAAACACCCACTTCAGCAGTTTCCCTTGAGAAAAAAAAAGGCAAATCATTATGAAACACGTAGAAAACTTTGCACCCGATCATAGCCACGATATACGCCATTGCAACTTGGAAGAAAACTCATTAATCCTTCCCTGTTTTTTCCGGAGCAATGGTCTTACGTGTATGAAAGTGTGTAACTGCCTAAAACGAAAATTAAGGAGAAAGAAGACGATGTGAAATGCTCAAACAACAAAAAGAGGATAAAGGACTGGCTTGCTGAGAGCCGCAAATACCCAGCGAGCTGCAGCGTACTGTAAAGCTGGAAAAGCTTCAAAAAGCCACGCCCGCGGTGATGTAAATGCACAAAACGGGGCGGTCGTCGGCGGATATCCTTTAGAAGATTTTGATGGGTAGGATGTTTTCGGAGATTCTATGTAAGACTTGATTTAGGAATATTTCTATGAGGATGAGAATACAACAGGTGAATTTTTGGGTGCAATGTCATCCACCTCTGTTTATCATTGCCCTGCAATGATCATGAGAAGCGATTTATACTTTGTAAATGAGAAGTCCCGATTGAGTCATTGCACTTTGAAATGCGAAGATTCCAAATATTTAGGGGGTTACCCATGTGCGCACCGATATGCCAGTACGATGATTGCTGCCTTTATTCTAAAGACAAGACTTCCATTCCAGTTATCATCTTCAATGGAGATTTCACGCATTGAAAAAACATTCCATTTGACGGCATCACCCATATCACCCATTTTAATCGTTCCGTTGCACGAGTTGAGCCTTCTGTACTGATCAATCTCCTGATCTCTGACTGAGCGCATTCTATAATTCCCGCTTTGTTATGATTACACGAGCCTCAATCACTCTTTGGGCGCTCGTTCAACATGGCGATTCAGCGCCTAATCAAAGTGAGAGTTTGATAAACACTTTCTCGTCGAAAGTTAGCCGAAGTTTTCGTATCGCACCAGGAGCGCGAGGACACGAAGGTTCAATAGAGAAACATATCCGAATTCAGGTTCGGAGGTTTCTCCGCGTTTGACCGTCCGAAATTTGCGGTCCGTTGAAGCAGTACCAGTCGTAAGCGCGACACGTGTCCGGCCCACGTTATCTTATTCTGATTTCATACTCGACAAGGTTTTTGGTGTTTAAGCAATTTAGGTATAACCACACTTCCACCTGGCTATGAATAAGGATCACGGGATACAATACCGCTCACAAAGTATGCAAAATTTCCGTGAATACCGCGAAATTCCGAAAAGTTCGCGGAATTTTCGGAATTTCGCGACATTTTCGGAATTTTGCGGCATTTACGGAAATTTTGCACATTCTGTGAGCGGTATTGTATTCGACGTGCTAACAACATTTCTTACATTGTTTTGCTGCTAGTGACACATTGTAGGATAGAATATCTGCCAACACGACTTTCGAATTTGAAAGACAATTCATGAAAAGGCGATTTTGTAACATCATAATCTGACGAACAATTCAAATAAAGATCTGTGCTAAGCATGGTCCGATAGAGGTGTTCACAAAGTTTTGAACTCACAAAAATTTGCGGACAATTTCCGCAACAGGTAGGCGAAAAGTGCAGGCGAAGTTGCGATCTTGATTGGTTTAGCTACTTCTATCTCACTTTTTGCTTTACTGTAAGACTCTCTAGTGCAAAATAAACAGGATTTTCGTAAAGATCGCGACCAAAAACCACTATGAGTGAAGTTTACGGTCAATCCGAGAACCTCAATATTTTAACCAAATCTTGCGCCGAGGCCAAGAGTGAGGAGCGAGAGGCCAAGAGCGCGCTATATCAGTGTGTATTGCTTCTAAGAAGCTGGAAAAAATATGGGGTGCATAGGTATGAAAGAGGTGTCTAACATGATTTTTGGGGGAATTACGGAGCAACTTTGGGAGAGCCGATTTTACGGCCTGAGCATGCATGTTGGGGGGCTAATAACTCTGCGAATATTACAGATATGAGGCTGTAGTTTGTTTTATTGGACAGATCTCTGAAAATATGATTTTTAGAGAGAAGGTCGTAGAATAACAAGTTTCCAATAAAAGTGCCTAATTGACAGCTGAACTTGGGAAATCTGTCAATAAAGGCGAGTTTGCGCCCTTATATCTCTGCAAGTTGTAGAGTTGGGGTAATATCATGTCGTCACTGATATGTACTTTTGATAGCTCTATTTTTTTAGGGGTAGATCATGGCTGTAGCTCCACCGTAGGAGGCGCTATATAAGGCGATGATGCATATTTTGAATTTTATCTCGTGGAGAGTAGAAATAACAGGCTGGGATAGCCATTCTTCAGTTTGAATTCGAGGGGGACAGCACATATAATTCGGAGAAAATGCAGGGGCTCCGCCTGTGGGAGCCCATCTATAAACCTTCCCGGACTTGTTTTTTTTTAGTTCAGGGTCTCGCAATTTCTCCTCTTTCTCCCCCCTCATTTTCCCCCTCTCTTTATTTATGCAGCGCGTGTGATAGTTACCCGCGGCCATCTGGACCTGGTTAGGGGGCTGAAACCGGCTAGAAAGGGGTAAATAAGCTTAGAAAAACGCGATTTTCGCTTATTTTTCCTTATTTTTTCTTAATTTTTCTTATTTTCTTCAATTTCGGTCGTGATGTAGGGTATAAAGTGGGCGGAGCTTGCTTGGAGGAGATTCAGCTGTATAAAAGCACTGGAAATGAGCTTATTATGGAGTTTTTCGAATTTTTCGCTTAGTTTTTCGATAATTTTACCGATTTCCGAAATCTCGAAACCTTCAGAATATCGATTTTATCGATTTTTGTCGATTTTCGGGATTTTACAGCCCTCAGAAGACCGATTCTATCTATTTTTGAGGATTTGGTGGTTCATCAACCTCCAAAATATCGATTTTTCGCTTTTTAGCTGTGAACAGTAAGCCCCGCCCACTTATGATATTACTATACAATACCGCTCACAAAGTATGCAAAATTTCCGTGAATACCGTGGAATTCCGAAAATTCCGCGAAATTTCTGGAATTTCGCGAAACTTCGCGAAATTCCGGAAAGTTCACGGAATTTTCGGAATTTCGCGACATTTTTGGAATTTCGCGACATTTTCGGAATTTCGCGACATTTACGGAAATTTTGCACATTCTGTGAGCGGTATTGTACTCTTACAAGGAAACGATACTCAATGTCCGTGACCTTTTGAGACGAGATGCACACCGTTACACTCGTCTTCGAACGCTGATTCCGAGTCTGACTTCCGTTTCTGCTAATCGTTTCTCTGAAAGAAGTTATAGCGAATTTTGAGCCAAGTTTGGCCGCCCAAAGGAATTGTGGTCATTGGAACGGCCTCTACTGCGGCCACGTTCTGGTCTAGTAAATAGTGCGATAGCCTCGTAAGTCAACGCAGGTGTAGGTTCAAATCCTTTTGTGTTTTTACCTTTGCACTGCCTTACTTGTTCAAGAAAATTCACTCGACTTATAATCACTGGATACATTTCAGCGCAAACACCAATCATTCATTCCAAATTCTTTTTGGAAGAGTAAGGACGTTCACTCAGCTTGAGGATGCGAAAGAAGGTTAACTGAGGCAAGGCAAAACTGAAAAATACAAAGGGACTCGAACCTACACCTGCATCTACTCATGAGGCTATCGCACTAACCACTAGACCACAGCGTAACGCTGTCGCTCGCGCTCCGACCTTATATCACTGGGCAGCCAAACTCCGCGCGATCCATCATAACATCTTTGGAGCGATTAGCAGAAACGGAAGTCAGATTCGGAATCAGCGTTCGAAGACGAGTGTAATGGTATACATCTCATCTCAAAAAGCCACGGACACCAAGTATCGTTCCCTTGTTAGCTTTAGCTCAACAACCAGCATATGTGATAATCTAATCTATTCTCGTCCCGCTTCTTCGTTGTCTATCTTTTTGAGACCTACATCAGAACGGAACTAGATTATATGTTCTCAAGAATTTATTGATTTAATTCATTTAGTTCATGGCGCAACCATATCATTTTTTCTTTGAAATGAAATTCGTGAAATTTTTGTCAGAAAATGTATTTACGATATATCCATGCATGTGCTAGGCGAAATGCTTGATAGCGGTCATCATCGATTTTGCGATAGTGGTCGCTGTCAAAGACGCCAGGCGATACAGCAAAAATGTGGCTCTAGCCGGTGTTGAACCATGGTCGCGCGGGTTCAGTTCCAGTCGTTTACCTCTTCGACCAAACCTGCTCAAGTGCTTCCTTTTTTACGACATACATGATTGTCATTATTAGAAAGCGATCCGCATCCAAATAGCTCATTGGATCTGGACAGCTCGACTGGAGGCGTCCCGCGTTCAACGTAGGCCGCACCAGTTGAGCTGCACTGATGGGGGTTTACTACGGGCCTAAGAACTTTCATGAATGTCTTCGCTGTTTTGATGGACGAAGGCGGTTCCTCCATTTGTTCACTGTAGTCCACGTGTCCGATAAAGTGCCGCAACGACCTAATTGCTCCGAACGCTTTCTGATTACGTAGGTGACTGAGTCTGTACTGAATGTGAGGTCCTTCTCTTGCTTAATGCAGATAAGAAGCTCCTAGTTCTTTGAAAGAATTGGTGGACCAAAGTCATGACAAGAGTTGACCAGAATCCTAGCTTGAGCTCACACGCTGCCAACTCCATTACTGTCGCGCATTAATAAGAGCAGTTTTTTACACTATCGAATTGGTGCTGAGCTGACCGACATGGAGAACCACGGCTCAGCCGGTGTTCGAGATTGGTCTCGTCGTACTTCGCTACTTTAGGTACCTGCTTCTTTTTCTCTCTATGCTGCAAGGTTCTCATGCTCTGATGAGTATGATGGATGGCAGATTGCCATACGTGCTGAGATTTTCATTTTTTTATGTGATCCCGCGGGGAATCTCTAGGTGATCGCCCCTTGTTTCCAAAGTCGTGTATGTTTTTCGATGAGAACGTCGTGAAGTTGTACTGGAAATCTACAACGGCACTGCCAGGGGTGTGTTCGGCAAAATGAATAGGTTATGCAGGTTGTGGTTTTGCGATGAACCTCAGCTCGCGAACAGCAATTCATCACAGATAAGTTATCCTGAAATTTCACTAATTTTTACTATAAATAACGTGTTGTGTGTGTTGTGTTTGTGTGTTTAACTATAGTATATCCTCGGTGGAATTTCACAGCATTTTCATCGAACTGATAGGAAGACAAATGACAATGTGGTTAGCACCTGGTTGTTAGCACATAAGAATTTCGCTACGATCTGACATTCTCAGGCAAATAGCACGGTGTTGATCGCAAAGAACACAAACAAACCTCACGCTCATCTCTTTATATCGGTAACTTTCCAACAGCTTGTAAGGGAGCACATGAGATGGATGTTTCTGCAACTAGATGAAGTTAGAGACGCATGTACTATACTTGTGAAAAAATCAGTTTAATGTATGGCTTTCGAGTAATGCATTCACACTGCTCCTTAGGAATTTGTTTTTTTTTGAAACTAGGGTGCCTTTCAATTCGTTGTAGAAGAACTTCATGTAAAGCGCTTCCGCTTCGCTGGAAGGTCTGGCATTTTTCCAGGCAAACGTCGAAGAAAATGATCAAACACGAAATAGGTTCTGGCATTGAAAGCAGCTTAACAAGAGAAGGAAAGTTCGGTCGAAATGGCCTTTCAAGAAGGATGGTCACCGTTTTGTAAGGCTTCGAACGCTGATTTGAAATCTGCTTTCCTATCTGCGGCGCGTTTTTGGGCGAGAAGTTATGAGGGTTTTTAGGGGGGGGGGGGGGGGAGATTGCGGTGAGGGGGAGTCTACACAAGTACAATCAGCAAGGAGTATCGTGTGTGCCGTCTACTGTAGCGGTTAAGAGGTGGCTTTGCAGGCCGAAGCTACCAGGTTCGGTTCCCCTGTCCTGGTTCTTGCTTTGCAGGTTTTCAAAAAACTTGTATGCATGTGCATCGTCTACACACCACCATATCCTTTTTTTAATTGCAAATTTCTTCAAAAACAGGTTTTTACTCGATGTTCTATGTCACTGATGAAAGGAGAGGACAAAATATGCAAAACATAGGCTTATTCACAATGAGAGCAACGAATGAAGACTTCTTCTGAACAGTCTGAACGGTTTCCTATCAAAAAAAAATTGCGAGCATAAATAACATAATGCAGATCACGGATTAGACTTTCTACCTATATTTCAAATCACTTGCAGAGAACTTCAAAGAGAGCAGTTATTGCCTCGGAATTCTGATAAAAGAAAGAAGGGATGATGTATAGACAATGCCTATTATACTAGTTCTTTGCAGAAAAGCAAAATGAAAATAAGGACAATGGAAATGAACCTGGGAGCTTCTGCCTGCAAGACCGACTGCTAACCACCAGGGTCAAGCGTGAGGTGCGGCACGCCACACCTGGGGGGTCGTATTGAGGAGTCAAAAGGGGAGGGGGTAGTAGTTGGGTAATCTGATAATAGCGATAACATGATATTCGTATCCTATCCATAGTTAGCATGTCAATTAACCCCTGTAGACAAAGTGCGAGCGATTTCTGAAGGTTCAAAATACTAGGCTACCTAAGTGAAATGGTCAAGTTCCAACATGGTTAACTTTGTTTCGAAGGTGAATTAGCTATCCGTTTTTGCACTCAAAGAAAGACTCAAGACAAAGCACTACTCCTTCTTTGTCCACCTCAGGAATCCCGCTTCAGAAGACCTGCAAACTGTGGAATTAGAAGCCAACCAAAATCTCGTTTTTCCCATTTTTTGCTTTTGATCGCTGTGCTTTCACCAAATATTATTTGGAGCTAAGAAGACGAATCAGGCTCAAAATAGTCCCATGGAATCTACAAGGTTTAGGCTATCGATTCATATAAATAGTGTCCGCTAAAATGTTTTTTTGATATAGTTAATGGCCTGCGGCACCCCCCCCCCCTCAAAACCTGCGGCTGCCGCAGGTTTTGAGGGGGGGGGGGGGGTGCCGCAGGCCATTAACTATATCAAAAAAAAAAACAATTTTAGCGGACAGTATTTATATGAATCGATAGCCTAGTATCCTAGTTTTCAAAGGAGTAATTTTAGCCTAATTCGTTTTCTTTGCTCTGAGTAATAGTTGGTGAAAGCACAGCCATTAAAACGAAAAATGGGAAAAACGAGATTTTGGTTGGCTTCTAATTCCACAGCTTGGAGGTCTTCTAAAGCGGGATTCCTGAAGTGGACAAAGAAGGAGTAGTGCTTTGTCTTGAGTGCAAAAACGGATAGCTAATTCACCTTTGAAACAATGTTAAACATGTTGAAAAATGACCATTTCACTTAGGTAGTCTAGTATGTTGAATCTTCAGAATCCGCTCACACTTTATCTACAGGGGTTATTCGACATGCTAATTATGGATATGTTGCCCATTATGTTTGACAGGGCCTTCAAGTAATGCTATCTTAAGTGTATAGTTTAGGGGGGGTCTTATTGAGACAGCAATCAGGGGGGGGGGTCGTAACCAGCGATCGTGTGCCACACCCCTTGCTTGACCCTGCTAACCACTACACTAGACGGCACAACTGTTCCGTTCTTGGCTGTACTTGTGTCGACTTCCCTAAAAGCCCCCATAAACTCTTCGCCCAAAAGCGAATAAGGAGAACATTCGAAATCAGCGTTTAAAGCCCTACAAGATGGTATCCATCGCATCTTGAAAGACCACTTCAAATGCCTTTCCTTCCCTTGTAAGGAACGATGCCAGTTAAATCCCTCATCCATCAATTTGAGTGGACGATCCTTTGAAGTTTACCAGCGTGCTATTCACGAATTGTTTAGGACTGTAAAACAACAAGTCGCTTCTGTTTTATCATATTTTTGTCATCGTGCTGTTGTAAATGTCGATTGACATATTTTCAAAAACTACCATCGTTTTCCAAACGTCAGCGAAGTTACCCTATTTTGTGCAATTTTTCAGAACAAGTTGGGCATAACTTTGGATCCGTCGCTTTAATATCCTTATGGCGAACTTACTTTTGCGATATTGAGTGACTATGCACGCACAGGGCTCAGCTGCTTTGATGAATCTATTACCGCTTTCAAAAAGCCCCTAGGTTTGTTCAATCGCTCTTCGAACTTCTGCGTAGTATTAAGTACTCCCACGCCCTTTGATAGTAAAGTCATATTACGTCTTTTTGCAACGTCTGCCACTTTACGTGCTGTTTTCGTGCTCTCCCAGGGCCCACGACGAGGATGACAAATGGACGTCTCTGAACAAATTCGCCTTGCCACTTCCGATATATACGGTTTTGCACTTGAACAAGCCAGCTGCGAAGCAGTTCACTTGGAGTGCGCCTCTCTTCAGACGTTATCATTGCGGATCTTAACGAAGAGGAAAGGAATTTGAAACCAAAATTTTACTGAATAAACTTTTGGCGCAGAGAAGACGAGAAAGTTAGACGCTCTTCATTCACGTTTTCCCATAGAACCTCATACTTCGTTCTTATATCCATCTGCGCATATACACACCAAGTTTAGAGCCATACTAATGCTTGTGGGTTGATATGTCATTTTTTCGCTTTACTTTTGATTTAGAGGCCCTCCACTGCCAAAATCTCAGTTGGCCCCCTCTACCACGAAAGTAGCACACTTAAACTGGTTCGCAGAGCGAGTTTTACATCGGCCGGCTCGCCGGTTCTCCCTTTTTTCAACACTTCCTTTCAGGCGAGGCTCTCTCACTGGCGTGTTTGAACCTGCGGCGCAGGTCAGAATAAAAAAGCAATTCCTCTACGTTGATTCCGCGGAGACCTTTGGAAAGCAGGGCTTTCGGGGATCTCATGCGAATTTTAACTCGAATAGCATTATACAGGGTTGTAAAGGTCAGGGCCCGGCATAAATCGTCTGGAAGCAGGCTGGAATTCGTTTTTGGAGCAAAAAGTAAAGAAGATATCGTTTTTGACGAAGGGCCCAGCACCAGGAATAAACCCATTTAGTCGAATGCAAGCTTCTCGGACGGGTTATCACACAATTGACATGCTCTATCGTGTATGGCGAAAAGTGCGCGTTATTTGAAAGCAAGGCTAAAATGAAAAAATTGCTTGTTTACAGCGTACACAGAGTCATATGACACCAAAATTGGACTGTATGCATAGAAAATCATTTGCGAAAGGATTATGTTAAAAGATTTGAAAACTTATGTGAAGTTATACCTTTCCGAAGTTAGGTCGTGTCCAGACGGCCACCAGACGATCTGAGATCGTCTGAAGCATATATTTCTGTCATTTCACGTAAGTTTTGGATTTTTCTATTATGGACGGATTCCTCGGTCAAAAATCTATCCCTAAGCGTTAAGACATTTTCATATCAGTGCCTTTCCTTTGTTTTTTTTGCGTTCATTTCTTCATATATCGCCTTGTGACATATCGCGCTCCGATGCTAAACTCTTGTGCATGCGTAGTATTCAGCTCCAATTTGGATTTTCACTCTTATCTCACGTTTTTTCTTTCAGACTAGATAGTCTTTCTCGTTTTCATCTTCTCCTAAGCAAATAGGTCGAAGGAGACTTCGTAAAACTTCCGAAAGCCAGGGGAGATTCCAGGAACCCTAGAAACCGACTCGTGCCGGGCCCTGATGCACTGCGCATGAGAAAAGGAATTATGCTTCGATGGACAACATCTTTCGAACTTCCTTTTCGCAAAATAAATAAAACATTATTAACATATATTATTTCCAGACCGTTCTGTTCTCTCCATCAGCGAAGCCAAAGAGATGTTTTGAACGAGTATGAAAAAGGAAAAAGAAAAAGAAGGCTGGGACTTCAAGATAAACCGCAGAAAGACGCAGTATTTGAGAATGCAATGCAAATTCAATTATACGTGATTGATGATGGGGGAAGCCTCATTTAACATTGACCTAGGACTTACCATCAACATAAACAATGACTTGAAGATTACATTCAGTCGAAAAGCAGCATGATTAGCATTCGGACTTCTATGAAACGCTAACGAAGATTTTACTGACCCTGAGCCCGACGCGGTCATCTATTTGGTGTTAAATCTTCCAGCTCTTATGAAACCGATATCTGAACTGGGGTTCAGCAACTACGAAGGCTTTAAGAACAGCACACAGAGCACCTGAAGAGAAACTTCTGAAGTATCCAAGTCCAACCAGCTTCACTTATGGTACGAGGTATCGACTTAAAGGCGGCGCCGGCAAATCTGAGCCAGGCCATTAAGCTGCTTAGTAGGCCGTTGCCCAAGTTCCATTCGGTTCTCTACGTAAAGAAAACTTTGCTCAAAGTGGTAAGGCAAAACTACATTCTCCTGAACGACTGCCGGTCCCCCTTTCGCGTCTCAACACGTCCTACCAAGCGTATTCGTCCTCCTTGACGAGTCTGAGCCTGCGGCTGGAGCTAATGTAGAG